CTGTAGATGAGACTGGCCTCAAACTCACAGAGATCCACCTGCCTCTGCCGCCCGAGTGCTGGGATTACAGGTGTGCGCCACCTATGCCTGGTGCAGCTAGGTTTTAACTTGTAAAGGGGAGACAGAGTTATCATGCTATGTGGTTCTACAGTGGTGGGGATTTTTTTTTTCAAATAATTATTTTATTTAAAGAGGCTGCCATTTTATACATCTTCATCCTTCAAAATCCACACAAAATTTCCCAAAGGAAAAGGCATAAGGGAACTCCATAACACGTAGTAGAATCATTAAAAAGGAAAATGAAAGGTGCTGGTGAATTGTGATTTGCAAAGTTGAAATGCCGGAACTTTCTCAAGCTGCAATGGTCGCCATGTGGTCCACGTCACCTAACACTCTGAGTTATCACTGAACAGAGGGTCCAAACTTTTCTTCCTTTGAATCCTGCAAATGACAAGGCGGGTCCTGGATATAGGACAGACTTCCAGGATGGGTGCATGATTGTGTGAGGTTGGGAAAAGGAACTTGAGACACTGAATGACTAGGCTTGTAGTTAAGAGAGGAGGATAGCCAGACAGTGGTGGCGCACGATCCCAGCACTCAGGAGGCAGACAGGCAGATCTCTGTGAGTTTGAGGTCAGCCTGGTCTACAGAGCGAGTGCCAGGACAGTGAGGACTGTTACACTGTCTCAAAATCCTGTCTCGAAAAACCAAACTACTAACTAACTACCTAAATAAATAAATAAAAAGAAGGAAAGGCAGCCCTCTGTGTGCACACTCATGTCCAAATACCTCTGACCTCTTGTAGAGGAAGTTTAGGGCAGGGGCTGTAAGAAAAGGCTGTATGTCTGTGAAAGTGTCCTCAGTAAACTGACTTCTGTCCCCATGACTCTAACAGAGGTGAGTTGGTCTCAGCAAGCTCAGGGTCTGGAGAGCCAGGCGCTGAGCCGAGCAACTTGAGCCACAGCCCTGAGAAGCCTCAATACCCACAGGCCTCTCCTGTCCTCTCTGATGGGTAGCGTGTGTATACCCACAGGCCTCTCCTGTCCTCTCTGATGGGTAGTGTGTGTGACCCAGACTCCGGGGTTACTCTGACAGCTTCCCAGATGCTGAGAATTCAAAGGCCTAGAAGATACAGGTGATCTTCGAGGGCAAACTGCGGAGATTGCTCCAAACATCGCCGGTCAGGGGTCAGGGGTGCTGGAAGCAATCTGAGACAGCACATCTCATGATGTTCATCATTGCATGTTTCTGTGCAGCGGTGTGGAGGATAGGGTGTGAAGCATTTGTGACTCACTGGAGGCAAAGGTCACAGAAGCGGCAGAACACACATTATTTTCACAGATAAAAGGTGATCCCTGGGACAGCAGAGGTTCACGTCGGCAAGACTGTTACATGTGTGGGTCCAGAGCTCTGTGATGCTAAGGAGGTTCTGCTCTTCCTGGGACCCAAGAGGAAGGAGGACCTGGCACCATGACCCCAACTCTGTATCTCATAACATTCACATTCACATCTGTATTTAGACAGATGCTTTCATAAACATCCTTGGTCTGCCCAGGTATAGCGGCATGCCTCTTTAGTCCCAGCACTCGGGATGCAGACGCAGGCCGCTGTGGACTCAAAGCCAGCCTGGTCTATAAAATGAGTTTCAGACCTCATTCAGCCAGAGCTACACTATAAGACCTCTGTTTGTCTCAACAAACAGACCAAAAAAAAAAAAAAAAAAAAAAAAAAAGAAAGAAAGAAAGAAAGAAAGAAAGAAAGAAAAAGACAGAGAATTCCTTGGTCTACATGCAAGAAATGGCTGTGTAGAGCAGGTGTACTAGATTTCTCCTGTAATCCCTGAACTCAGAAGACTGAGGCAGGAGGATGGCAGTAAGTCCTAGGCAAGCTGAGCTACAGAGTCTGTTCCCAAAAGGAACTAACTGTCCCAAAAAGCCTTAAGTAAGTTAAACAAAACTGGAGAAGGTTTGTACCAGCTCAGTGAGGAAGCTGCCTTCTCGGGTTTCCCGAGCTCTCCACCCTCTCTGTTCACAGCTGTGCTAGGTGATAGCCTAGTGGGTTCCCAGAGGCCTTGAAGACTAAAGGAGGTGTCCACATTCTACATCACATTGACAACACAGCAGGGATCCCAGGCTAACTGCTCTCTAAGTCCTAGCTGGTGCCAGTTATGGGGATTATGAGGTACAGGACCAGATTTTGGGGGACAAAGTGAAGACTTTGGCCTTTAACCTGTGATCGTTTCCTACCAGAGTCTGTCTGACAGAGCTGGGGAAGTGGAGACCAGGAATGAGGCTGAGGAGATCCTAGCCCAGGCTGAGAGGACCCAAGCCCAGGCTGAGCTGACCCAAGCCCGGCATGACTTGACCCGAGCTCATGCTGAGAAGATCCTAGTCAAAGCTGGGGAGGTCCTAGCCCAGGCTAACAATATCGTATCCCAGGTTCAGTTGACCCAAGCCCAGGCTGAGTTGACCAGAGCCCTGGCTGAGAAGGTCCTAGACCAGGCTGAAGAGATCTTAGCCCAGGCTGAGTTTAGCCAAGCTAAGGTTCAAAACCAAAACCAGATGGAAGAGAGCCAAGCCAAAGAGAGTCAAGCTGTGAGAGAGGAGAGCAAACCTAAAGATCAGAGCCAAGACAAGACCGACCGAAGCGAGCCAAGACAAGGACAAGGGAGATTGGGACGCACAGAAGAGCCAGGTCAGCCCAGAGCCCTAAAACGGATTTGGTGCCAAATCCAGCATTTCTTTAAGAAGCTGAAGGAAATTTTTAAATGCCTTTGTTAAGTTTGTTATGCCAAAAAGACAGTGAAGGAAAAACTTTAATGCCTTTGTTATTTATGCCAAGCCAGCCACTACTTTCTGTTTTATAGGAATTCCTGAAAAACTTACTCATCTGAAACACATCCAAGTAGGTGTAGGTAACAGTGCGAGCCTGCCCTTTCCTAATGTCTTGTAGAGAATGTTCTCAAGACTCTTCCGTTTTCTCTATTGTCTACTCGGAGTTGCCTGCTCCCCTGGATGTCTACCCTGTTGCTCTTGTCCTGGGCTCCCTAATAAAAGTTGCTTTAAAGGAAGCAAGTATTGGTCTGGATCTTCTTTGACAGGTAGTCATTAGGTCTATGTGGGAACCCTCCGGAAGGTTGCATCATCTCTACTGTGTACATAAGGGGACACAGGTCACTATGCAGTACTGGGTTTGTGGTAAACTCTTGTTGGTGAACTTCATTCTGGTACATAGTAAGTGCTCAGTGATCCCCGAACTGGGTCAACACACTTCGACCCTCGGGGAATTTCAGTCAGCCTGTCCACTTTCTGTGTCATAGGATGCTGTGGATCAAACTCATTGCTAGTGAAAACTGACAGTTGATATCAGGGCAAGAAGGGGTTGGGTGAGACACAAAGAGAATGATGTGAGGAGGAAGGGCAGAGTCAGGAGAGTCTTGGAGTACACCAGCCAGCTTCTGAGCAAGCAGGATGTGTGGAAAATGAGGTAACGCGCCCTGAGCCACGTGGCAAGGCATAAATAGAAATATGGGTTAATTTAATTGTAAGAATTAGCTAGTAACAAGCCTGAGGTATTAGCCGAACATTGATAATAAATATAAGCCTCAGGCTGTTTGTGAGTGACTGTGGGACAGGAAAACTTCTGCAATAGGATATAGGAGACATGCTTGCTTTTCTTTTGTGTTTGTTGTTTTGAGACTGTATCTAACTTAAACTGGCTTCAAATTCTGGGGTTCAAGTCACCCTCCTGTCTTAGACTCTGCAATAACCACAACTATATGTGTACACATGTCATTTGCTGATTTGATCAAAACTCCCCACAGGGAACAGAAGGCATAGGGCCAGTAAAGGCTTAGACAGACAATACCGACATCAGGAATGAGTAAAAAGGAGCTAGGACATCCAGGGACTCTGAGGCATCAAATGATGGCCAACACCAGATATCAGGTAACCCCCCTGAGTAAGGAGTGATGTAATTAACATACAGAACGCCACTTTTGTGTGAATTTTGTATAAATATGCACTTAAGATCAAAGGATGTGCCTTTGCCCTGCTGCCCATTGCCTATGTGTGTGTGGCTTGTGTTCCAGTAAATAAAGTCAGTCTCATCTGCCTATAGTTCCTTGAATTCTCCTCAGCCTCCCCTTTTCTGGCTTGGTAGCTTAGACCTCAGCAAACTCTGTTGCCTATCTTCGGTGAATAAGTAGTATGGGCTGCTGTGATGTGGCTATTCCCTCTAGGTTTGACATGACTACTGCCACCAGGAAGCAGAGCTACTGTGGTTTCCTGTGGGAGCAAAATAAACAACCAGATAGCTAATAACTAGGTCTATGGTAATAGGGCTGTCCACATTCCTTCTGAGAGGGTGGGAAGAGACTACCTCCTCCTCCTATCCTAGATATATATAATCTTAGGAATTCTAAAGTAAAAATGGTGATGTTGGGTCAGGAGCTCAGGACCAGCCTCAGCTATATAGTGAGTTTGAGGGAATTCCAGGCTACACAAGACTAGGTCTTAAAATAACAAAGAAGCTGTGCGTTGGTGTGCTCGCCTTTAATCCCAGCACTCAGGAGGCAGACCAGCCTGGTCTACAAGAGCTAGTTCCAGGACAGCCTCCAAAGCCACAGAGAAACCCTGTCTCAAAAAACCAAGAAAGACAGAGACAGAGAAAGGAAGGAAAGAAGGAAGGAAGGAAGGAAGGAAGGAAGGAAGGAAGGAAGGAAGGAAGGAAGAGAAAACAGCCTAGAGAAGTCAGGCCACACCTCCCTGAATGGCCAGTAGCTAGGCAGTAGAGGGATAGGCGGGACTGGCGTCAGTGTGGTGCTATATTGTTTACAATCTATTGAAGCTTGCCTGAGGATTCAGAAAGCAAAGTCAGCCTCAAGCTGTAGAGATCAGGCAGTGGAGGTAAACACCGTCAATCCCTGGACTCAAGAGACAGAGGCAGATGGAACTCTCTGAGTTCAAGGTCACCCAGGGCTACACGAGATTGAATCAGTCTAAAAGAGCAACAGATCTCATGCCTTTAATCCCAGCACTAGCGAGATATAAAAGATAGGAGCAGGGTCTTCCGTTGTCAGTATCAGGATTGTGCAGCCGCACTGAGCAGGGCATGGCAGTCTGGGGTTACAGTCTGAGGTTTGGTGGAGCCAGGATCTCCTTTCCATCTGAGGTAGAGGTGAGGGCTGGTGACCGGCTACCTTGCTTTTCTGATCTTTAGCTTGAACCCCAATATCAGTCTCTGGGTCTATTATATATCATGCTACAGATTAAGTAGGGGGAGGAATCTAGGTTTGTGAGAGAGGAGATAAGAGGAGGGAGAAAGAAAGGGAGATGCCTTGTACCAGGTCACTGCCAGACAGACAGACAAAGAGTAGGACATACAGCCGGGCGTTGGTGGCCCACGCCTTTAATCCCAGCACTCGGGAGGCAGAGGCAGGCGGATCTCTGTGAGTTCGAGGCTGGGCCGGGCCGATAGCCTCCAAAACAATACAGAGAAACCCTGTCTCGAAAAACCAAAGGAAAAAAAAAGCTACAGTTGCATTTTTGGTAGCTGTCTCCTAATGGTCAGACTGCTCCTCTTGGTTGCACATCCTTGAAGGTGCAGTCACTTTGTCCTCATAGTATCAGAAACCAAACCACTAGGATACTCAACCTATATATCTGCACTAACAAAAGCTCTGAATCCTTCTGACACGATTTCTTTTTTTTTTTTTAAAGATTTATTTATTTATTACATATACAGTGTTCTGTCTACATGCCAGAAGAGGGCACCAGATTGAATTGCAGATGGTTGTGAGCCACCATGTGGTTGCTGGGAATTGAACTCAGGACCTCTGGAAGAGCAGCCAGTGCTCTTAACCTCTGAGCCATCTCTCCAGCCCCTGACACGATTTCTTTTGGGGAGCTTACGATGGAATTACCCTACCAGGACTATCTGGTTTACCATATTTGAGATGGGGAAAGAATCACATTATCCAATAAATATTCCGCCTGCCTCATAAATATTCATAATAATATAAAAAACACTCACTGGTCTACTCCATTAGGCTGCTTCCCACTTAGGGTACCCCACTCAATCTCTTCAGAGTGCTTTGCTTGCTAGCTTGCTTTGGAGGCTGTCCTGGAACTTGCTTTGTAGATCAGCCTTGCCTTGAGTTCACAGAGATCCACCTGCCTCCCCAGGTGCTGGGACTAAAGGTGTGCAACACCAACACCTGGTTTGCTAGCTTGGTTCTTTTGTCTTAATAAACAAATCAAACTGTCTATGCTTCTTGACTGAATTCACTACCTCAAGAAAACAAGAATGGAGAGATTTCCATGAAATCTGGCACATTCTTACTTGGAAAGGAATCTGAGGGAGACATAGATGACTCCACAGCCTGACCTTGTAGAGAATACAAAAAGAGACAGTCCCTGGGAGAGAAGGCAGCACTATGAGAAGACCAGGGTCCAGTCCTTCAGGGCTCACCCGAGCCCCTTACTTATTAAAATGCAGATTCCTGACCCCATCCCCAGAAGGAGGATTCAGGCTGAGGGAATGATCTGCATTCTTAAATTCACATGAGATGGTGCTGGCACACCCCTTTAATCCCAGAACTCAGAAGGCAGAAGCAAGCAGATCTACAGGGTGAGTTCTAGGACAGCCAGGGCTACGTAGAGAAACCATCTTGAAAAGATAAATCCCCACAAAATGAATCTGATGAGGAATAATCTCTAGAACCAACGACCCAGGTCCTGAATCTCTGGGGACAGTGGGTTGGTTGAAGGAAGCTGCCTGTGTCATTGGGCACCTGGGGACAGGGGCAGGAGCTGGAGCCATGATGACTCAGAGGTTAAAGCTCATGCTATTCCTGTAGAGGACCTGAGTTCTTCAGTCGTGACCCAAGGCTCACAACCACTCCAGCTCCAAGAGGATCCAACACCTCTGGCTCCCTCAGGCTCCTGTACTCCCAGGCACAACTGAAACTAAAATGTGAGAAGAGGGGCAATGAGGAGGCTGTAGCAGCGACAGCCTCTCTGAGAAGGCCCTATGCATGTCTTCCCAGCAGCATGGCCCAATCCTGAATTCAGGGTGACACCCCCCACCACGCCAGGTTGTGTTCTGGGATGAGGGTGACCCATGTCAACACTGATGTTAACCGGCATTAGAAGCATGCTCTCGGTGAGGTAGCTTGGTCTTTGTCCCCACCCTGTGACAGCAAAGGGACATGGAGAACAACATGGTAAGAAGGCTCTGGAACACATTCAGCCGCTACAGGAGGCACTGGAGTTCAATGTCCTGGTCCTATTTAACCATCAAGTCAGAGTACAGTCACTGTCCCACTGTCACCAGGAGGACCAGTTGTAGAGAATCAGAAATCCAGATTCCCAGAAAGCAAGTCAGCACAGCAGAAGGCAGCACACAGCCTCAAGCATGCGTGGTTTCACTTCCTTCTGAGGAGCAACGGGATAAGGTAGAGCACTGTGTGTGGGGATTCCTAGCTCCAGCAGTGGCCGCGGCAAGGCGCCATTCTTGACGATGGAGACGGAGGTGGCATAGCGCCCCCTGGTGGTAGCCCTGACTGTGGCCACAGCTCCTGTGCCCTAACAACAAGCAGGCTCGGGGACCCTTGAAGTGTCAGCCGGCTTCTGCTAGGAATTCGCAGGGCTCTGCGCACCTGAGTCCCTGTGGGAACAGAGAGAGGCTCCGCAGCCTCTCACGACTACATTAGGTCCACTTGCGGGAGACTACGGGGCTCCCTTCGGTGTAGGGAGCTGATCCCCTAGGAAGGATCAGGTTTCAGCAAGAAAAGACAGCTCCAGCCAGAAATGGCAGGAGGGGTAGCAGGAGGGTCGCCAACAGTTGTCTTGAGGCTTGATTGAGCTCGCAATGACAATCACAGGTTCCGGTTTTGGGGGAGTTGGGGACTTGAGGGTCAGAGCTGGGGGCGGGGCAGTCCAGCCACTTGGGCCCCATGTGCTGGGGAGAATCCGACTCAGATTTGACACTGCCCTTCGCAAAGCGCCAGAAATGGGTGCCCTTGAAAAAGTAGGTGTCACCTGTAGGGGAGGAGACACCTCAGAGCCTTGGTCCAGACCTGTCCCAAGCCACTGCTCCTTTTTTCACACCAACTCCGGGGACCACCCCTTAGTTGCCATTCCTTCTTCATCCCCCCCCCCCGTCTCCCCCCCCAAGCCTCCTTTCCCTCCTCCAGGGACCACAGTTTGTAGATGAGGGCTTCCAGTGTTCCCCACACCTGTATTGCTGATGGTGACATCGTCTGGGGCGGAGGGCGCCCCCTCCCAGAGACTTAAGACACGTGGGTAGCCAGGGTCTGGGCGGGCAGCCTCCTCGTCATACCGCCAGTATCGATAGCCTCGGATCAGGTACGTCTTGCCATTGAGAGGCCAGGAGAACACAGCATCCACTTCTTCTCCCGGGGGGAAGCCCAAACTCTACCAATGGCCGGGCTTTGCCCTCCAGCTGTCTGTCCTGGAACACCCAGAACCAGGGACCTGGAAGAAGGCACGTTGGTAATGCGGGGCCGGGGGTGTGGGGTGTGGGGTGTGCTCCTTAGACCAGCCAGGTCCTATCCAGTACCACTGATCCCTACCCACCGCTGAAAAGGATGATTCGGCCATCTCTGGGCCGGGCATAGGCAGCCTGGATGACCCTCACATGAGTGGGCAGCCCCTCCCAAAACCGGTGCAGCCTAGCTGGACGGGGCGATACCAGCTGTCCTGAGGGTTGGAGGCGCCAGAACCAAGGGCCTGCAGGGGAAGAAGACAAAAAGGCTTGGGGATATGACAAGGTAAGGGCTCCTGTCTCTTTCCCAATGTCCCTCTATCCATCCCAGCGAGTGGCTGGACAAGGGGAGGATCCCTCTACACATCAAGCAAATCTGTGACCATCATTTTATAGCTTGCCCAGGATGTCTCCACACACCAATCCTCCCTCCTTCACTCTCCCTCCCAGAAAACTTTCCAGTCTGGGTGGGTCACCTGAAGTGTGTAAGAAGTCAATTATGCAGATCCAAGGGCCATCCTAAGTGACTTACCTTTGAAGAAGAAGGTCTCCCCTCGGATGTTGGCAATAGCATCAAAATTGCCCTCACAGCGGTCAGGCACAGGTGTGGAGGGGCTGGGGAGGGATGGCAGAGTGAACAGGAGGGAGGGCTCCCTGCTCCTTGCTCTTGACTAGTATGGCAAGGAAGTTTCCCATTTGTTTTTTTTGTGCTTGTGTGTACTGGTGCATGTGCATGCATGTAGGTGTATGTATTGGTGCATGTACACATGTGCTTGAGTGTGTATTGGTGTGTGTGTGTGCATGTATATACATGTGCGTACTGGTGCATGTGCACATGTGCTTGAGTGTGTACTGGTGTGTGTGCATGTACATGTGTGTGTACTGGTGTGTGTGCATATATGTATGTGTGTGTCCTGGTGCATGAGTGTGTATGTGTGTACTGGTGCATGTGCAGGTGTGTGTACTGGTGCATGAGCATATATGTATGTGTGTGTGTCCTGGTGCATGAGTGTGTATGTGTGTACTGGTGCGTGTGCACATATGTGTGTGTGTGTCCTGGTGCATGAGTGTGTATGTGTGTACTGGTGCATGTGCAGGTGTGATGAGTGCAGGTTGACAGTGCATGTCGTGTCTTCCTTGATTACTTTTCACCTTGTATTTTTGGGGTTTGAGTTTGTTTTTTAAGACAGGCTCTCTGTGCAGTCCTCACTATCCTGGAACTTGCTGTGTAGACCAGGCAGGTCTTGAATTTAGAGATCTGCCTGTCTCTGTGCAGTCCTCACTATCCTGGAACTTGCTGTGTAGACCAGGCAGGTCTTGAATTTAGAGATCTGCCTGTCTCTGTGCAGTCCTCACTATCCTGGAACTTGCTGTGTAGACCAGGCAGGTCTTGAATTTAGAGATCTGCCTGTCTCTGTCTCCTGAGAGTTGGTAACTAAAGGCATGTACCACATCTGGCTTCCAAGTTATTTTTTGAGACACTCTCTCTTGGTGACCATGCAGGTCACTGACTCTGCTAAACTGGGCAGCCAATGAGCTTCAGGGACCCGCTTGTCTCTGCCTTCCTGAGTTTTGGGATTACAGACCCAGCCCTCTGGCTTTCACATGGTTCTTTCGAATCTGAATTCATGCTTTCGTGGCAGTTACCTTGCTAAAGGGCCAGTATTCCCAGTTCTTTTTTTCATTCTTGTGGGTGTCTGAGAGACTCCAGAATGAGAGTTACAAGTAGTTGTGGGCAACTTGAAGTGGGTTCTGGGAACTCAAGTTGGGTTCTCAGAGAACAGCAAGTGCTCTTAAACACTGAACCGCCTCTCCAGCGCTTCCATCCCCTTTTCATGGACGACAGAGTCAAGGAGTTGGCCACACAGCTGGTCACGCAGCTGACCACACACCTGGTTACACAGCTGACCACACACCTGGTCACACAGCTGGTCACGCAGCTGGTCACACAGCTGACCACGCAGCTGGCCACACAGCTGGCCACGCAGCTGGTCACACAGCTGGCCACACAGCTGGTCACACAGCTGGCCACACAGCTGGTGGGGGACTCACCTGTCAGGGGGCAAGGGTGGAGGCTGTGGAGGTGAAGCCAAGGGTTTCCTTGTGGGCTTGTCATACGGGCTGTGGGATGTTTTCCCTGTGGGGAGAGTCAGACATAGGTTCCCCGGAACCGGTGTGTAGGTCGTAAGAAAGCTACATCTGGGTCTGGCTCTGGCATCTCCCTCCCATACCATAGAGCTGCTGCAATCCGTCACGGTCATCTTGGGACAAGCGGTATTTGTCAGGGTCTCCCACTGGGCCCTGGTAGAAGGGCCTCATAATGGAGTTGGGAGCAGAAGAGTGGCCGAGGCCAAGGGCGTGGCCAAACTCATGAACTGCTACTGCAAATAGGTCCGTTCCTTCACCATCTGGGGAGAGAGGACAGGGGTGAAGCAAGGCCATCCACATTGGAAAGGAAGCACAGGGGTTTGCCTGCTGGCCAGGAAGAAGACCCAGGGGACCCTGGAGTAGGGATTCCACCTCCTCTGCCCTGACCCCTTCCTGAATGGCATCACCATTCCTGTATTCCTTGAACCATCCAGCAAAGATTTTTGCTGTGACACTGGGATATGGGGGCCAAAAGGGCAGAAGAGAGGTGTTCTCATGCTGATGTAGTCCCTCACCCAGCAAGGGAAAACTGCATATAGAAACTTAGGGTGCAGAACCCTAAGGTGCCCGGCACTGGGAACATCCCCTTCCAATTCCAGCCTGTGGTTAGAAATCCCCACTTAGGGTGCTGGAGAGATGGCTCAGAGGGAAACAGGGCTGGATACTCCTCCAGACATCCAGAGTTCAAGTCCCACATGGAACCTCACAACCTGATGCCCTCTTCTGGCATAAAAGGTGTACATGATCACAGAGCACTCACACACATAAAATAAATAAATAAGCCTTTAAAAAGAAGACAAAGAAGAAAGAAAAAGAGGTCCCCACTCTGCTGAGCGTGGTGGCATAGACCTTTGGCCTCAGCATTCAGGAAGCAGAGGCAGGAGTCTCTTTGTGTTTGAAGTCATTTGGGCCTATATAGCAAATTAAAGTCTAGTTAGGACTACATAAAGAGACTCCCCTCCAAAAAAAAAAAAAAAAAAAAAAGAAAGAAAGAGAAAAGAAAAAGAAGCCCCAACCTCCCCTTCCCTCCATCTTCACCCAGGGTTTCACTCCTTTCTTTCCTTCCCTCCCGTGCTTGGATCCACATTTCCAGGCCATTTCCCAGACCTCACATCTCCACCCACCTCTCCTAGGGCCCTCACCCCTCCTTCCGCCAAAAGGAAAGCTCAGACCACAGCACACTGCTCTGGCCTCTTCCCCCACAGCTTCTTCCCTGGGGACCCCACCCAGGTCAGCCCAGAGCTTCTTGATTCTCGGCTTTATCGATCTCTGAAGTCACCGGTTGAGAAGGCCTGCCTGGAAGACACTAAGACAGTTAGCAGAGCCAGGCAGTCCCCCAGCAAGGCCCAGATTTCTGAATGTCACTCCACCTCCCTCATAGTTTCTAACCAGTATTAATGATACTGAAAGTGAGATGTTAGAAATGACCGGTGAACTGAAAAGCAGCTTGCCCTAACAGGAAAACAAAACCAACTTTTCTCTTTTCTTTTTTGAAACTGGGTCACACTATGCAGCCCTGGCTGAATAGGGATTGATCTTGATGCAATCCTCCTGCCTCTACCTTCTAAGCGAAATCACTACTGTTATATACCACTATACTTGGCAAGAGCAGCAAATGCAAGGATTCGTTCCGTCTCAGACCTCCATCTCCCATCATTTCACAGAGGGGAGACAGAGTCATCAAGGTCAGGAGCAGAGCTGGACAGGAAGCTGAGGGCCCTGCCTTCAGGTGACCCTGTCCGAACTACAACTTAAGTTCCACGTTGGCTGCAGGTCATCTTATTATTCTGAAGCCTTTTACTGAGAAGTCAGAGGAAGTGTGGTGTCTCAATCAGGATGTTCTCTTTCTCCTTCCTTATCTCACCTCTCTTGGGGCAACGCAGGGCTTCCGGGTCACGAACCCCTTCCTGCACCTTTCTCACGCTATGCAGATGGAGAACATAACATAATCACCCAGACTAACCCGTGAGAGGCCTGGTGGACAATGTTCAGGGTCCCTGCCACCACCCATCTTTATTGTCTTTGGCCTAGCAGGTGACTGCTTTGGTCCTCTCAACTTCTATTCTAGGTTCATAGGCCCTCAAAGATGGGACCTGGACTCGGACCCCATCTTCATGTGACAAGGCTGGCAATTGTGTTTCCTATTTCATCAAGGCAGGCAGGGCTGGGGGTGTACTCAGTTGGTAGAGACCTTGTCTAGCATGCATAGAGTCCTGGGTTTGACTCCCAGCACAACGTAGAGTAACCCTGATAGTGCATGCCTGTGAGGGACATGAGAGTAGGATGAGCAGGAATTCAAGGTAATCCTTAGCTATATAGCAACTTTGAGGCCAGCCTGAGATACATGAGACCCTTTCTCAAAAAACAAAAAGCCAGGGGCCGGGAGGGATGACTCAGTTATTTAGAATGTCTACTGCTCTTCCAGAGGACCCCAGTTTGGCTCTGAGCACCCACCCCAGGGTGCTCACACCTGCCTGTAACTCCATGTGCAAGGAAGTCCGTACCCTCCTCCAGCATCTGCACTCGAGTACATGCCCCCACACAGACACACACACACATGGTTAAAAATAACAAATGTAAATCTTAAAACTAAAATCCAAACCAAACAAACTAAAAAGGCAGGCAATGCAATGTGATGTCACCTGGGGTACACATGTACACACGGGCAGATAGCCTCACAGCCCCACACTGACCTCTTGTCTCCTGCCCGTGCCCATTTCTTTCTTCCTGTCTAGGCATCTGTGCCCCCCCCCTTTTTTTTTTTTTTTTTTGGTTTTTCGAGACAAGGTTTCTCTGTGGCTTTGGAGGCTGTCCTGGAACTCACTCTGTAGACCAGGCTGGCCTCGAATTCACAGAGATCCGCCTGCCTCTGCCTCTCGAGTGCTGGGATTAAAGGCTAAAGGCGTGCGCCACCAACGCCCGCCCCCCCCATTTTTGAGACAGTTTATATAAACTATGTAGACCAGGCCAGTCTAAATTCAGAGATCTGCCTGCCTCTGCCAAGTGCTGGGATGAAAGGTGTGTACCCTACCCAGGCATCCACATTCATCTTTCTATTCATGCACTGGTAGAGCCAATGCTTAAAACCCTTCATCCTAGCCGGGTGTTGGTGGCGCACGCCTTTAGCCTTTAATCCCAGCACTCGAGAGGCAGAGGCAGGCGGATCTCTGTGAGTTCGAGGCCAGCCTGGTCTACAGAGTGAGTTCCAGGACAGCCTCCAAAGCCACAGAGAAACACTGTCTCGAAAAACCAAAAAAAAAAAAAAAAAAAACCCTTCATCCTGAGACACTCTTTGGGCCTGGTCCCCAGGATTCCAGCCTCCCTAGTTTCTGCCCGTGCTTCTTAGCCAAGTTCCTCAGTCAGTGGTTTAAACAGTCTTCACTTCCTCTATTTTTCTCACGCCTAACTACAGTTTGAAATTCTTCTCATGGAGCAAGCAGGCACAAAAAGGCCACTTGTCAGCCAGGGGGTGGTGACACACACCTTTAATCTCAACCCTCAGGAGGCAAAGGCAGTCAGATTTCTGTGAGTTCAAGGCCAGCCTGGTGTACATAGGGAATTCCAGGACAGTTGAGCTGTTACACAGAGAAACCCTGTCTGAAAAAGAAATGTCATTTGTCCCCAAATAACTAAATCCTGGTCACGTGACTTGCTGGACATTTCCCTGCCTAGCTGTGTCTAACCACTTCCTCTGAACTTTTGTATTCATCATTTTTCAGCCCTTTTTCTCCCTACTTCCATTGCTTTAGGTTTAGGGTTTTTTCCCCAGACAGGGTCTCTTGCTTGCAGGCCTAGATTTCTCTTTGTAGATGATTCACTGGCTGTCGCTTGTGTCAGCCTCCAAAGGCTGGGGTTACCAGCATGTACCGCCACGCCCAGCTCCCCATCAATCTCCCCAGCTACCTGCTTCTTAACTTTAAGGCTCTCCATCGCTGCTTTTGACTTTTACATGCTCCACTGTCTCCCTGGCACCTCCCGACCCCTCCCCAGGCTCAGCTCTGCGAGCAGCTGGCAGTGCAGTCAGCAGCCCAGGTGCCCACAGTGAGGAGAACACAGAGCACCCAGGCGGAAGGCGCTCTTCCCCCCCATGTCTCCGCTGAGGAAGCAGAGCGGCAAGTGGAGGAGCCCGAGCTCGCTCAGCATCAGAGCTGGCCTGCTTGATCTGGAGATGCCGGCCTGCAAGGGCTTCAGGCCGCCCTGTGCTGCAGGGTATCTACAGCCTCACTGTCAGTCTGTGACTGGCTGCCAGCGCCCCACAGAGCCTGGGCACCAGACCCAACCATCCCCTCCCCACTCATCTTACCCTAGCACAGAAAAGGACTGATCGGTACAGAACTGAGAAGACCTGCCCCCACCATCCATGTTCAGTTCTAACCCCCCCAGCCCCACACCACACACACACACACACACACACACTCACACACACACTCACACACACACTCACACACACACACTCACACACACTCACACACACACTCTCACACACACTCACACACACACACACTCATACACACTCACACACACACGCTCACACACGCTCACACACTCACACACACGCTCACACACACTCACACACACTCACACACACACTCACACACTCTCACACACACTCACACACACACACTCACACACACTCACACACTCACTCACACACTCACACACACACTCACACACACACTCACACACACACTCACACACACACACACACACACACACCGCTTCCCTTTCTCCTGAGAATCCTTTCCCTTGAGAAACTGTTTGCTTAAGAATTTCTGTGCGACTGACGGTGGTGCACGCCTTCAATCCCAGCACTAAGGAGGTAAGGGCAGACAGACCTCTGTTAGTTCAAGGCCAGCCTGGTCTATAGAGAAAGTTTCAAGATAGTCAGGGCTACACAGAGAAACCCTGTTCTGGAAAAACAAACAAGGAAAAAATAAAAACAGGAGACTGGAGAGGTGACTCAGCAGTTAAGAGCACTGGCTGCTCTTCCAGAGGTCCTGGGTTCTAGTCCCAGAAACCACACGATGGCTCACAACCATCTACAGTGGGATCTGATGCCCACTTCTGGCATAAAGGCATACATGCAGATAGAGCACTCATATACATAAAACAAGTAAATAAAATCTTAAAGCAAAAGAAAGACAAACAAAGAATTTCTATCTGGAAACAAGAGGAACGAATACAATTTTTTAAAAAGTGGGATGGGATGGGGGAAGGCAGGAAAAAAAAGGCTTCCTCTGTGAAGCTCTACTTCCAGGGAACCTGACCTAGGTCAGAATTGGGAGTCCAATTCTAAAGAGGGTATTTATCCTCCATGCCACCTGCACAGAACATGCACATACTGCCAACACGTCCAGACCTGTGCTTACCCACCCTGCCAGCCCACTGCTCCCTCCCCCATGTATAATAGTAGCAATCTTCTAGGGTGCTGAGCTGGACCTGGCCGTCATCTGCCATCGTCACTGGGGGTCTAGTCGGATCGCAGTCTGGGCCTGCTCTGACGCCCCTCAGCTCTGCCTCTTCACGGTCAGTCCCACCTGCTGCCTCTCGCCTCTCGCCACTCCGCCTCCCCATGCATCCAGGAATATTTCTAGGATGCAAGACTATTTGATGTGTTCCCATTGCTTCCTGAACCCTGTTCTTCAAATACTGCTTCCTTTCCAAAACCCTTTGTAACCCAGAGCCCTCTCTCATCTGTGACATCATACACGCTGACGTTGCCCACAGCTTTGTGTCCCAGCCATCAATGCTCCAGACCGTATCTTCCCTCAGTGGCTCCTCCCACTCTGGCTACATGGCACTCAGCCAACTCACTGGCTGGTGTGTTCTTCTTGTGTGTCCCCTATACCTATGCACTGGCCTGTGACACCTGGTACTCAGCATTCTTTGTTCAAGACAGAGTCACTCTGTAGCCTAGGCTGGCCTTCATCTCACTATGTGGCCCCAGGTTGGCCTCAAACTTGCTACAATTCTTCCTTAGCTTTCTAAGCACTGGGATTACAGGTGTGCTCATCACACCTGCTCTGAACCCTGTCTTATAAAAACGAAATGTTTGTCTTGAGTTGGAGTCTTTGTTTGTTTTTTGTGTTGGTTTGGTTTTGGTTTTGGTTTTTCAAGAGAGCGTTTCTCTTTGTAACAACTCTGTCTGTCCTGGAACTCTACCTGTAGACCAGGCTGGTCTTTAACTCGTAGAGATCTGCCTACCTCTGCCTCCCGAGTGCTGGGACTAAAGGAGTGCACCACCATGCCTGACTCTGAAGTCTTGCTGTATATCTTCAACTGATCTGAATCTCACAATCCTCCTGCCTCAGCTTCTCAGCACTGGGATCACAGATGCCTGCTGTTACCTGACTGCCACCACATCCGGCACATGTCATAGTTAAGCAGAAAGAGTCACCACTTCTAGGAAGCCTCCCCTGCCCAAGAGTAACAGGCTGCCACTGGGAACTCAAGCTGAGAACTTCCTCTGCTGTGATTTCTGGCCATTGCATCACGTTGCATAGAGGTGACGGCCACTCTTCTGCCTACGTTGATGGATAGTGAGGTGTTTGAGTTTTTACACAGTACTTCTCTGAGCTAGGCACTTGACAGGACAATCAATTCTTCTCCTTTTTTTTTGAGACAGGGTTTCTCTGTGCAACAATCCTAGCTATCCTGGAACTTGCTCTGTAGACCAGGCTGGCCTCAAACTCACAGAGATCCATGTGCTGGGAGTAAAGGTGTGGGCCACCACTGTCTGAGCTTGGCACTTGAAACGCCTCTGTAGTGGTAATTTTGGACAGGCACCTAATGGATTGTTCAAACAGCAGTCCACATGTGGCTGTGAAGCTGTTCCAGAGGTTTGACTACAATCTACTCTCACTGAAGCAAGCTACCCCAATGCAGAAGGACCATATCAATCCAGCTCTAAGGGCAAACACTGAGGATTCTAGGAGGGAAGAAACTCTGTCAAGACTATAACAGAAATCTAGCTTGATTTTTCACTCTGCTTTACAAATTTTGGCCATGTTAATTCCCACAATCCCCATGAACTGATTCCTTAAAGTAAATCTGTTTTAGGACAGGCTAGAATAAATAATGAGTTCAAAGTCAGCCTGGGTTACAATAATGAGACCAAGTCTCAAAAAAAATAAAAACAAAAACCTCTTTTTGTGTATTGTTAACGGTGTGGGAGGGGCTGGGGACTGGAGAGGTAGTGTAGTGATTAGGAGTATTGGCTGCTCTTCTACAGGTTTGATTCCCAGCACCTACATGGTAGATCACACCCACCTGTAATACCAGTTCCACATCCTTCAGGCTTCCTAAGGTACCAGGCAATGAACCTGGCACCCAGACATACATGCAGATAAAACATCTATACACATACAATTAATTAATTGTGGCTGAGCTCACTATGTAGACCAGGCTAACCTCAAATTCACAGACACCTGCCACTGTCTCCTGAGTGCTGGGATTAAAGCTGTGTGTTACCATGCTGGGCCAGTGTGTGTGTATACGAGTGTGTGTGTGTCTTCTGAACCCATACATGCTAGACAAGCAGTAGACCACTAAACTACCTATCTCCAGCTCCTCTGGGGAATCCTTGACTGATTTTATCAATTAATTTAAACCAAGTTCTTTACCTTTTGACCCAAAAGTCCAGGTCTCCTCATCATCGAAGTGAGTGTCTCCAGAGATGGGGTGCTCCCCAGGGAAGAAGGCATGAGCCAGGGTACCACCGGGTCCATCAAAGGGGTAGCTGTCCTGGTGGTAGCCCCGGGAAAAGTGGATAAGGATGTCGGGCTCCTGATTCTGAGAATCCACCTCCTGGAAAGTAAGGCCGGACTCAACAGCCCAGACAGCCAGGGCATAGCTCATGAGGGTCCTCACGGTCGACTGGCTCAACTGGGAGTTCTGAGAGAAGGACTGGATACTGAGGAGAGAGGAGGAGACTCAGTGGCTGTGAAGGGAATGGCCAGCCAGGCAAGTTTGGGACCTCAGGGGCAGGACAAGGGGAAACACAGGCACCAAGACCTACCTCCACGTCAGGGTGCGCTTCTCCCACACACTGCCACTCAGAGCATAGCGGCGACGGCGCCTGACCAGCCCAGCAGCCCCTAGGATATCAGGCAGGGAGCAGCGGGGCTTGTGCATGGTGGCTATTGTTATCGGGTCTGTGAGAGAGAGACGTGATGAGTAATAGGATAGTCTGTCATGGTACCAACTAAGAAGTTGGCTCAATGGAGCTGAAAAGTTAGCTCAACAGCTAAAGCCACTGGCCGTTCTTCTAGAGGACCCAAGTTCAAGTCTCAGCACCCACATGGTGACTCACAATAGCCTGTAGCTCCAGTGTCAAGTGCCCTGACACCATCTTCTGACCTCTATGATGCATAGGCACCCACACAGGTCACACACCTGAACACATAAAATAAAAATAACTAAATATTTAAAAAAGAGCCAGGCAGTGGTAGCGCACACCTTTAATCCCAGCACCTGGGAGGCAGAGGCAGGCAGATCTCTTGTGAGTTTGAGATCAGCCTGGTCTACAAGAGCTAGTTCCAGGACAGCCTCCAAAGCCACAGAGAAACCCTGTCTCGAAAAACAAAACAAAAACAAACAAACAAAAAAAGAAAGTGGCTTAGGGCCTCATGGTCTGAAAGCAGAGAGTCACGGTGAAAGCTAGCTCAAGCCAGGGGCGCTCTCTACTTGGCCTTGGGGGGACTGGCCATTGCAGGAGGCACTCAGAGGCTTAAGCTGGGTCTCCTGTGCCACTTCCCTAGCCTCAGCGGGTGGACACTAAAGGAAGGTACTCCAACGGTGTACCTGTGAGTCTGGACACCAGAGGTCAAGTCAACCTTGGGTGTCATTCTTAAGTGCTATCAACCTTGGGTTTTTTGTTTGTTTTGTTTTGTTTCATTGGCTTTGGGTTTTGAGACAGGATCTCTCACTTGGTCCAGAATTCCCCAAGTAGGTTAGATTGGCCAATGAGTCCCAAGGATCTGCATCTCTGCATCTCTGCCTCCCCAGGGCATTCCACCAGACCCCCTTTTAGCTGATTTCTAGAGGTCAAACTCAAGTCTTGATGCTTGCGAGACAAACATTTTATACCTAGGCCATCTCCCCTTTCCTTTAAGGTCAGAATTCAAAAGGCTGCCCCTCCCCTTAAAGCTGTCCATCACTCTTTTTGTTGTTGTTTGTATGTTTTCCTCCTGTTTTTTTGAGAAAGGGTTTCTCTGTGTAGCTCTCTGACTGTCCTAGAACTTGCTCTGAAGACCAGGGTGGCCTCGAATCCAAACTCAGAGATCTGCCTGTCTCTGCCTCCCAAGTACTGGGATTAAAGGTGAGAGCCGCCACCACCACCCCACCTAGTTTAAATCCTCATGGGATACTGATCAAAGTCTGCAGGCCAGTAGGGACCAGCAGGGATCTTTACTCTGAAGCAGCTAGCCACCCCTTCTCAAATTAGATCTATCTGTAAATCCCCTTTCTAGCACCTGCCCATTTCTAGGAGTCATTTCACATTCAAGTGAGGTCAAAGCACATCTCACTGGTAGCAATAGCAAACAGTAACCAAGGGCCCTATAGCTCTGGGTCTAGAGCACGGGTCTTGCAAATAGTAACCAAGAACACAGTGACGTCGGCCTCTGTTCTAGGCTGAGAATGAACAGAGCAGGGGGAGGTTTCTTTCTGGAAGATTCTCTGAGCTCCGTCTGCCATTCTATGTAACTGCACAGGAGAGTCCTCAGCTCTACCTCCAAAATATGCTCTCTGCCACATCCCCACCTCTACTCCACCAGCGCCACCTGCAAAAGACTCCTTCTGGTTCTCCACCTACCCTCTACCCCTGTCAGCAAACAGAAGAAACTTAAGACCAAACCAGAACTGAGCCCTATGGCATCAGTGAGGCTGGAACAGGAGGACCACAAGTTTAAGTCCACCCTAAGCGACAGAGCCTCCCCCACAATGAACAACAACAAAACCCCGAGTCAGACCACGTTTCTTTCCCCCTTTGAGCCCTCCTCCCCTGGTGTCTTCTTATCCTTCAAGGTGACCTAATCAGGCTCTTGCCTAAGCCCCTCAGCCTGCCTTCACTGCCAGCAGATAAACATGTGCCTGCCACAGCTCTTTTGCAGTTACCGGGCCATTTCCCCCACATTTTCCTGTGGTGGCATCCTGTCTGTGATCTTAGCTTATAGGCTCACAGGATGTCTTTCAGAGTGTCCTACCCAGCCAGATGCAGCAGTATAGACCTGGAATTCCAGCACTCAGGCTGAGGCAGGAGGATCTCGGAGTTCAAGGCCAACCTGTGCTCAGTGGCAGGATTCCCCCAAAACAAATCAGCGTCCTACCATAATCATGGGGATGGCACCATCTGAAATAATTTTGGATATTGATGATCTTGATCTGTTTCTTTCTCCCTCAGAATGTCAGCTCCAGAGAGCGGGGGCCAGATCTGTTCCATCCCTGTTGCAACAATGGAGCCTGACAAAGACAGGACGGATAACTGGATGCCGGCAGACCTCCAAGGTCTGGGCTGGGACCTGAGACCAGCATCTTGATATCTCTTGTGATTCAGGCCTTCCCTGTGGTGTAAAGACTCTGGACCATCGACACAGGCAGGACCGCCCCGTGGCAGGGGCGTGGTGGGCTACCTACCCATTCTGCCTGTCTAAAGACTCTGGACCATCGACAGAGGCAGGACCGCCCCGTGGCAGGGGTGGCAGGGGCGTGGTGGGCTACCTACCCATTCTGCCTGTCTCAGGCAGCCCAGCAAATCTCTGCATGACTTTGATCGCATCCTGCAGCTTCTCAAGGCTTTGCAGCTGGGCTTGGGAAGGGTCCGCCGGAGGCAGGTAGCCATAGCGAGTCAGCCAGTCCTAGGGCATAGGAGAGGAATGATGAAGCCCTAAAAAGATGGAGCTCGCCCTTCTCACCATAATTTGAAAAGTCCAACCCTCTAGGGGATCCAGAGACAGTGGTCCCAGCCCTGGATGACAGCGCCCATCTCCCTTACATACACAGCCAGGGTCCCCACTCCCCAGCTCTAGGTTTGTCAGTCTTTTAGATGCAGCAGGTGAAGGGCCCCAGCTTCCCATTTTAGCTCCTTTCCACACTTCCAAATCCCAGCCGCCAAACTTCCAGATACAGCTAGTAATACAGGTCCCCAGCCACCTTTCAGGACATTTGAATCCAGCCCCCTCTTTTCTTCAGACCCAGGAGTCCACCCTACTCCTTTCCTTTTACAGGCTCTCTGTGATCCCAGGAGCCAGAGGATCCGAGCTCACCACGCCCAGGCTCTCGTCCTGCGCCCTGGAAATCGGAGCGCGCACAGGCTGCAGCAGAATAACCAGCAGAAGACCAAGTAACCAGATACCGAGCGCCTGCAGCCTCATGGCGCTTTCAGCCTGGACCTCGGGGACACTCGAAGGGGCCCTGACTCCGTCCGCCCTGGGGGTCTGGAGGAGGACAGGGACCCGGTGAGGATCCAGAGAGCCCACACAGGGTAGTAGAGATGAGCAGGGGAGATCCGGGAGCCTAGCAGGCACAGCAGGGGCTGAGCGGCAATAGCCGAGGGTAGAGGTGGGGCTGGGGTCCTGGGAGCGTGGAGAAGGCGCAGGAGGGGACAGAGGTCCGGTAAAGAAGTCCACTACGGGAGTCTCTCCTGTCCCTCGGTCCCCCAGGTGCTGTCCGTGCCTGGGCGCTGCGCCAACTGCCCCGCCTGCAAGTGGAAGCCTTGATGGGGCGGAGCTCACGGCGATGAGCGTTAAGGGCGCGGCGGGGAAAGCAGTCCAATCTTCCAATGTCCAGCACGAAGGGGAGAGCCAGTCGTCGTCCCCCACCCCCGCCCCCCGCTGCTCCTCACTGGAAAGCAAGGACTCTCATGCGAGCTCAAGGACTAGCCGCAGGGCAAGCGGTCTGATGTGTCCCCTCCTCCACGACCTCCGTCAGAAAAGTTTCTGTTCCCAGATCCATGCTCTATCGGGACTCGTGGAGTAGTCCCTGCTTCTGCTTCCTTAGGACCGCGAGCCGGGGGAGGGGTGGCTGGAGTTCCCCTCCCCCACGCATCCTGCCGCCCTGCCGGGGGATCCCAGGCTGCTGGCAGTATGAGCTCCGTAAGCTTCCTTTTCACCGCAGGATCCCAGCCGGGTCTAGATGTGCTCAGCGTGACTGCCCCGGACCATCCATTGTCCCAACTCACCTAAAAGGCTCAGCTCGGAGGACCGGACGCTGGCGCCTCAAGACCCCAAACTCGCCTGTTCCCACCTCATGGTTTTCCCCCCAGGGATTAGGCATTTAAACCCCAAACCTGCACACACAGGAGACAGCAAAAGGTGGAAGAGGCAATTCTTGGGGGAAAAGGGCATGGCCTGGGGACCAGCAGAGCCTCCCCTACAGCCAGAGGAGCCTAGGGACGGAGACCAGACAAGTGGAGAGCGGCTGGGAGGAAGCAGGATGCAGGCTGAGGGACAGAATGGAAGGAAAGTGATCAGTGGAGTGTGTGTTGACCGCTCGGTATCGGGAGCAGCAGGAGGTTCATTTGCATTTCAGACAAAACAAATAGTGGGCAGGATGAACAGGCTGCCGTTGTAAACCAGAACGTTGGTATCCTGAATTCTTCTGCAGAGCTGTGGACAAATTTCACAGACTGGATGGCTCACACAGAAACTCGTTTTCTCACAGTCCTAGAAGGTCAAGGAGCACAGTGGGATTCCCCTGAGGCCTAGAGAGGGCACCCCTTGCTGTCTCTTCATGACGTCATGTCTGCTTGTATGACACCCCTGCTGTGTCTTCCCCTTGTGTGGACACTAGTCACTGGGTTTACCATAACCAACTAATTTCTTTCTTTTGTTTTTGTTTTTTGTTTTTTTTTCCATACAGGGTTTCTCTGTATTGCTTTGGAGGCTGTCCTGGAACTCGCTCTGTAGACCAGGCTGGCTTCGAACTCACAGACATCCACCTGCCTGCCTCTGCCTCCCGTGTGTTGGGATTAAAGGCATGTGCCACCAACGCCTGGCTCTTTCTTTTTTAATCACCTCTCTGTCTCTCTCTGTCTCTCTCTCTGTCTCTCTCTCTGTCTCTCTCTCTGTCTCTCTCTCTGTCTCTCTCTCTCTCTCTCTCTCTCTCTGTCTCTCTCTCTTCCCCTCCCTCCGCTCCTCACAGTCCCTCCTCTCCGCTTCCCTTCCCTCTCTCCCAGATCCACTCCTCCGGTTCCCTCAAACAAAAAATAAACAAGAAAGGGCAGTTTCCTAGGGATATCCCCCCAATAAACCAGGTGGAGGTGACGCATGCCTTTAATCCCAGAATTTGGGAGGCAGATATCTAGGTTTGAGGTCAATCTGTACTACAGAGCAAGTTTCAGAACAGCCAGCACTACAAAGAAAAGCTTTGCCTGGGGCGGTGGTGGGGAGGGGGGTTGGAGGGCAGACAAAGGGACAGAATCTCTGAGCCTACTCTATAATAGAGAGCTCCTTGAGCTCATGGCAGTCCTCCTGTCTCAGCCACTGGAGTGTCAAGATCACCAGTGTGGTCTACAGGGCAAGTTCCAGGACAGGTTCCAAAAGGTACACGGAGAAACCCTGTCTCGGAAAAAAAAAAAAAAAAAAAAAAGATTACCAGTGTGTACCACTACACCCATCAAGGAATGACTTTTATTGTATCTTGGTGGGGAGGCTGTGGCAGGAGTCCTTTGAAACTGGCCAGGGCTTTCCAGGTTTAAATTTTCTCTCCAGGGAGGAAACACTAGTTCTCAGCTTGCTTAGATGTGTAGATGGCACAAAACTTTAAAGACATCAGCAAATAACGTTGATCCAGTCCTAAAGAGAAACAGCTCACACAAAGATGATCTCATTACCTGAGATGACACGCCTTTAATCCCAGCACTAGAGGGAATAATAGATAGGATCAGGGTCTTCAGTGGTCAGTATCAGGGATTCATTCTCCAGCCACACTGAGGACAGGAAGACATTCAAGTCTCAGGATTCTCCAGCCACGCTGAGGAGAGGTTACAGTCTGAGGTTTGGCGGAGCCAGGATTGCCTTTCATTCTGAGGTAGAGTAAGAGCCAGTGACCAGCTGCTGTGCTTTTCTCATCTTCAGCTTGGAGCTTTACTGTGTTACACTACATAGTGAGTTCCAAGCTATCCAGGGCTACACAGGAAGACCCTGTGTCAATCCTGGCAGTGGTGGCACATGCTCTTAATCCCAACATTCTGGGAGGCAGAGGCAGGTGGATCTCTGTGAGTTCAAGGCCTGCCTGGTCTACAGAGTGAGTTCCAAGACATGCAGGACTACACAGTAAAACCCAGTCTCAAAAAACAATCATTCAAATAGCTAGGCTCAGGGACCAGGAGAGAGATTCCTGTAAGGCCAGCTGGATCTACATAGCAAGTTCCAGCCCATTTAGGACTGCACAACTGAGACTTAGTCTTAAAACAAAACACAGCAAAAAAGAAACAAGGAAAGGTGCTGTAGCCCAGATGTCAGAGCTCTTGCTTGGTGTTCAGGAGGGTCTGGATTCCATCCCCAGCACTGAGTAAAATGCAGAGCGTGGTGCTCCCCGGTAATCAACTCAGAAGGTAGAAGCCAGAGGATCAGAAGTTCAAGCTCATCTCAGCTATATAGTGAGGTATAGCAGCAAACTAACAAGAAGACCCAGTGGAGTCAGAGCCCTTGTTCCAGTGTGAGAGTGGGGACACCTGCTCAGGGACTTGCTTACAGTTTTATTAGACAGAGCTGAAGAGTCTAGCCACCATGAAAATGAAGGACAGCTGCAAACTCCTTGCCACCTGAGAGGTGGCCTCTAATCTCCCCCTCCTGGGCTGATCTAGCCAGCCAGCCCATACACCAGGTATGGAGGTGGAGAATCTTTCCACTGAGTTCATACCCCCTCCTCCCAGTGCAATCTGCCTGCAGGTTCATCAAGAGCCACCAGGCAGGGCTCTGCCAGCCCCACACCTGTGTGAGAGAGAAAACTATTGATATAGGGGTGTGACTCTATGGAGTGTTTGCCTAGCATGTGAAAGGCCTTGGTTGGTTCCCTTAAAAAAAAAAAAGGTAATTATTACACAGCAAGAAATCCTGGAGCCCTCCAGCCATTAACTCTACCCTATGTATAAGACAGAGTGGGACTCCATCCTGTGTTCACACAAACCAGGCTGGGCTCAAATTCAGTATGTGCTAAGGATGACTTCTGGTCATCTGCTTCTTCCTCTCAGGTGCCGGCAGTACAGGCCTGTGCTACCATGTCTGGGTTATGCAGTGCTAGAGACAAAACCCAGGACCTAGTACATTCTAGTTCAGATGTTACTCAGCCACATTCCTAGACCTAGATGTGTTTACGTTTGAAAATATGAAGACCCTAGCACACAGGAGGCAGAGGCAGATCTCTGTGAGTCTGAAGAAAGTCTGATCTGTAAAGTGAGGTCCAGGCTATGGAGACCCTGCCTCAAAAAAAGAAAAAAAAAGAAAGAAAGAAAGAAAGAAGAGAAACTGTAAAGAGGTAGGGTGGTGGTGGCACACCCCTTTAATCCCCATGCTCAGGAGACAGAGGCAGGTAGATCTCTAGGATCTCTATGGGTTCAAGGTCAGCCTAGTCAGTAGAGCTAGTTCCAGGACAGCTAGGTCTACACAGAGAAACTTGTCTCAAAAAAACCAAAAGGTTAAAAATAAATGAATAAAAATGAGGGGGAGAGAAGAAATCGTTGTCCTTGGGAGAGAGGAGCTAAAGTAGACAATGGCACGCTGCTCATTTGTCCATTCAGTGTTGACAGTTTGAGACTCTTCCAGAATCTCTTTAATTTGAGGATTTTCAAACCTAGTGATCTTCTGATTCATGGAATTATAGCGAATGTCGGAGCATTCTAGTATGTTAAGAGGTCTGGGGAGGAGATGGCTCATTTGGTAAAGTGCCTGAACGCATGAAAAAAGCTGAACCTAGAGTCCCACATCTGTAACCTCATTGCTGGAATGTGGACAGGGATAAGTACATCCCGGAGGCTCCCTGACCAGCCAGCCTAGCTGAAGCACTGAACTTCAGGTCAGCACAAGACCTTGTCACAAAAAATAAAGATGAAGCCTGGTGTGGTGGCACATGCCTTTAATCCCAGCACTCGGGAGGCAGAGACAGGTGGATCTCTATGAGTTGGAGGCCAGCCTAGTCTACAAATTGAGTTCCAAGCCAACCAGAGCTACACAGTGAGACCCCCCTCCCTCAAAAACAAAATGAAAACAAAAAAAGCAAAATACAAAAGAAAGAAAAGATGAAGGGGCTGTCTTCTACTACTCATGGGCACATGCATACATGCACATAAATAAATAATAAAATGTTTTAAAATAAAGATAAAGGGGGCTAGAAAGATGGGTCATTGGTTAAGAGTACTGGCTGCTCTTCCAGAGGTCCTGAGTTCAATTCCCAGCTCACAACCATCTCTAGTGGGATCTGATGCCCTCTTCTGGAAAGCAAGCATTCATACTGATAAAGCACTTATACCTAAAATAAATAAATAAAAAGAAGGATTGAAGAAGGAACATGCAACATTGACCTCCGGCCTCCATAAGTATGTTCGCAGATGTACATATATATGTGTGTGTGTGTGTGTGTGTATGTGTGTGTGTACAGTCACCAAAACACAGGCATACACAATTCATACATACAGAGAAAGAGAGTCAAAGCCAAAGGCCCACATTCTATCTATAACTTCCTTTAAAAAGTTTTACTTATGCCGGGCGTTGGTGGCACACGCCTTTAATTCCAGCACTCTGGAGGCAGAGGCAGGTGGATCTCTGAGAGTTGGAGGCCAGGCTGGTCTACAGAGTGAGTT